TTGTTATTTCATGTTGTTGGAGATAATATGGGAGTGGTATTTCATTTTGCATTTGTGATGCTTGATACGAGTGTGCAGTCATTGGATTTTGTTGTTGAATTGGTTGAAAAGATTGTGTATTAATTAGATTTTGTTGTTGAATTGGTTGTTGATGTTGTGCATCTATTGGTTGTGGAGAAAAATTTCTATGATTTGTACGTGTTCTCTGTATTCCTTGTCTACGATATTCTTGAGTATTTGGTGCAAATATATCTGGTTGTAAGAAATCATCATCTGAGGATAAATAATCCATTTGATAAGATGTCTGTTTTTTATTTTTATTTTGTTGAAAAAATGGGTAATTTTCACTGTGATCCTGTGGAGGATTTGTTTGGAAATTTATTGAATTAGGTTGGGTCATTGGGTTATCCCAATTTCGAGATCTTGTATATTGGTTAAAATTTCTTTGTGGTTGATTATATGTTTTTGATGGATGTGTATAATTATAATTATGATCTGCAAAGTTGTTTCTAGTGAATGTTTTGCGTGTTTTTGATGGTATTGTCATGGGTCTGTATGTTTGGTAATCCATATGTGAATATTTAGGGGCAACCGAAGGTTTAACGGTTGATTGTAAGGTTACCTGTGTTTGTGAAGGATTTGTATTTCTTGGTGTTGTTAAATTTGGGCGTATTGGTGAAATACTTTGTTGTGTAGTTGTTGTGTGTACAATTTCTTCATTTATGAAGTGTGATGGTGTCTGGATATCTTGTTGAGTAAGATTCCTAGTTCCATTGAGGTTTTCATTGTGTATAACTGTAGAGTTTAAACTATTATTTTGTGTATCGGGCAAAAATGTATTATAGTTTAATGGTGTTGCATCAATGGTTAATGGTATTACTTTTACATAATCTCTTATGTAAGATATCGTACTTATTGCTTGACTTGAGATTGATTGTGGGAAGTTTATAAATGCGGGATGAGACCATTCGGGGTCCCAAACATAATCTGATTGTTCTGTGATAGCGGTATCATCGTTCGAGTTTTGGGGTCTAAAATTTTTTCTTGCTTGTGCAATTAAATCAATATTGTGTGTGAAATAATCTATGATGAACCATGCTAAAATTTTTTGTAGATCGTGTTTTGTATGTTGTGAAACGTCGTCTTTCGTGAAATTTTCTTTAATGATGTTTAAATAACTAGAGAGTAGTGTGATTTCATGTCGTACTTTCAAATGTTTGGATGTTTCTGTCGGTGAGACATTTGTTAGTGGGATTTCGTTTTCTAATATTGAAATATAACTATATATTATTGCGAAAACTTCATTGGTGAATATGGAGTTTGCTCTTTGTGAGTTTTGATATTGGATGCTTTTTATATATTCTGAAAAAACTTTTGAAAATTCTAAATCAAGATCGTCTGTTTGAATTGTATATTTTCTATTATTATGGTTTGGTGAGGTGAATTCTATGGAGTAGATTCCATACTGTTGTGTTATGTTGCATATATCTTTTAAGTAGTGATCTATGATTTGTCTTTTGATTTTTACATCGGGGAACTCTGTTTTACATGGACTGATTCCGGGTTCAAATAAATTTACGAGTAAATTTTGACAAAATATGTGTTGTCCTCTATCAGTATCTGCGTCTACTATAAAAGGAAAGATTTCATCATCATCTGGAGTTTCTTCACCTGGAGTGTGCGTTGAGCTCATTTTTTCGTTCGATGACTGTTAATATGTAATTATCAATGTGTCTAATTGGTTGATTCCAATTGTATAAATGTACTGGTTTGTGTTTATACTGCTTTTTTATTCTTCTTTTTCCTCTTTTTGATGAATTTGAAGTTGTTTCTGAGTCAGAAAAATATAATTGATCGTGAAGTGGGCAATTTTTATCTATTGATTCTTTTAGTTTGTAAAGTTCGTCTAAACTGTTGGTTTCTGATTCTGAAAATGCGTTTCGATTTTTTGAAAATCTTTTTCGTGTTATTTGTCTTTGTTTCGTTATTATTTTTCTTTTTAGTGTTTGTCGTTTTGTTCGAATGTATCCAACTGTTTGTGTATGAGGTGTGATTACAAGGTCGTATTTTTTGTTATCTATTTCGCAATTGTGTAAAACGATTGTTTGTTTATTTCCTAGGTTTTTAAATGACATAAGGTTTAGGATGACGGATGCAAAAGGTTGTTAAATGATTTCTATTTTCCTAAACTGTTAGTTCTTACGATTTTTTGGTTAGCTTAACCTGGGTCTATTTGTTCAGGGTTGGAGAGAAAAGTATATCGATTCCGAAGAATGATTTTTTACTTTCTCGTGGCTAGTATAAGTTAAGGTGTTAACTTACTTAATCTTACTTAGGGGTAGTGATTGTGTTCAAGGGTTGGAGAATAGTAAATCGATCCACAAGGTTCAGGTATAATTAGAACGCGAGTAGTTCGTTAGATACTATTTTAAACTTACTAAGTCTAAGATTTATCCTGGGTCTGGTAAGAGGGGGGGTCAAGTGAAGGATGAATAACCGAAGTTCTTCACTGTTTATCCTAATTTGAATGATTAGTTTTGTTTAAAAATTTCTATTAGTCTTAGGTCTTTAGAAAGGGTTGGGTAGTGAATCGACGTTTGAGGTCGTTAGACACTAATTAAGTGGGTGGGGGAGAACAAAGTTGTTCTGTTTGATCCAAGGATAAGCCTTGATGATCAAATTTGAAATTTAATTAAGTAGAAAATGGTTTAAGATCCAAGGATAAGCCTTGATGATCTGGTTTTAAAATTAAGTGAATTTAAGTTTTAATAAAATTTTAAATGTGTGTAAAGGAAAGATTTAGTGTTTTGATGATATTAGTGGGTTTATGATTGCTGTTATGTTTTAGGTGATGGAGCTGGAACAACAGGATGATTTATGATTACTAACCATTTAATGTCATGCTACTAATTTTTATTTTTATTTTTCAATAAATATTTTTCAAACATGTTTTGTATATTACTGCAGAGTTTTAGGAAAACGATCTTAGATCTTTTTATCAATCGTTATTGTATATTAATAATTTTGTTTAGCGCCTGAAATGATTTTGAAGATTAACTTCAAGGTTTTATGTTTGCAAATGAAAATCTATATTCATTGCCAGTAATATTCTAAATATAAAAGTTTGTTCTGGTTTTTGCCTAACTATCATATAGCTATATGGCAAGTTTCTACTTTGTCTTATGTCGTCTCTGGTTCGAGGTCTTCTTCCAATTCCGGGTAGTTCTGTTATGGTTCGGAATATTGGCTCTGATCTATTGAGTCGTAGAGACATTTCGATTAAATTATTGTCGTATAACATTTTGTAAATGTTTTTGTCTAATTTCTAATCTATTTTGGTTAATTCTAAGCTATTAAGGTCTTGTTCGAGACTTATGGTCGCACCAGATGAGTTAAGACCGATGGGTATAACTCATAGAGTAATTTCGGGTAGGGTACACCGTCTGCTCGTCACGCTATCTTATTTTCGGCCGGATAGATTCGTGCAACTTCTTAGTCTAATACCGATCCTAGTCTTACTCTTATACTATCTAGTCTCAGGTTGTTTAACTAGTCTCTGCTAGGCTCAATAGATCTAGGGTATACTGGTTTATTGCGGCTGCTGAAGTGCTCGGGAGAGTCCAACTAATTTCTAAGTTAAATTCAAATCTCTCTGGTGCTGAAATTACAAGTAACTTCAGCACTTACAAATAAGTGGGTTGTTAGTTAGATGGGTCATGATTGGTTAATATTAAATACTTTACATTGGTAAAACATTTAATTTATCCAATCATAAAATATAGTTTAGATCAGGTTCCAATAGATAGTCTTATGGATCTACTTAACAACCCCCCCCCCCCTTTAAAGAAAGGGGGGAGAGTGTTAAGTAGATTACTTGCAGCGAACTTTCGACCAATCATAATGCAGCAAAATTCGAACTTACATACAAAGCTCTAGTGCGAATTTACTGTTTATACTTACAGGGGTGCAGATTCTTTAGTAGATACAATAGGGGGGGGGGTTGTTAAGTAGATCCAGTCTTATTATTAATCTTTATTGTGTATTGGTGCCCCACCCGTACCCAGTAAATTTTCTAAAACAGATCTGCAATTCTTGCTTTTTTCAAGCTTTTTGAGACCAGAAATAGCCAAGAAAAAGAAATTTTCAGATCTTAAATAGCCAAGAAAAAGAAATTTTCAGATCTGAAATAGCCAAGAAAAAGAAATTTTTAGATCTGAAATAGCCAAAAAAAAAATTTTCAGATCTGAAATAGCCAACAAAAACAAATTTTCAGATCTGAAATAGACAAGAAAAAGAAATTTTCAGATCTGAAATAGCCAAGAAAAAGAAATTTTCAGATCTGAAATAGCCAAGAAAAAGAAATTTTCAGATCTGAAATAGCCAAGAAAAAGAAATTTTCAGATCTGAAATAGCCAAGAAAAAGAAATTTTCAGATCTGAAATAGCCAAGAAAAAGAAATTTTCAGATCTGAAATAGCCAAAAATAAAATTTCAGATCGGAAATAGCCAAGAAAAAAAAATTTCAGATCTGAAATAGCCAAAAAAAAGAAACTTTCAGATCTGAAATAGCCAAGAAAAAAGAAAATTTCAGATCTGAAATAGCCAAGAAAAAGAAATTTTCAGATCTGAAATAGCCAAAAAGAAATTTCAGATCTGAAATAGCCAAGAAAAAGAAAATTCAGATCTGAAATAGATAATTTCAGATCTGTTTTAAAAAATTTACTGGGTACGGGCAGGTAAGGCAGGCGACTTGAGAAAAAATTGAGGGATGGTTGGCCAAAAATTGATCTCGTAGTACCAACTAGTGCCATAGGGGCGACCTTCTGGGTGGTAAGGGGGTCAACTTCTTGAGACGGAGGAGAGAGAGGGCGACCCCTCTCCCTAAAGCCGCCCCTGGGTACAGTAATTGATCTTTGAATTAATAATTGACTTTTTGTGCCGCAAATACTTTGATTCCTTGCGTTTGAGATCGATTTTCTCCAGTATAAAAAAATACTTATTAAATTAAACCAGAAATATTCGACTAAAATTGTCTGCAAAAAGATTGCCAATAATCAAAATTAACCGAAAACAAGTCAATTTTTGACTCATTAATTAAAGTAGTACTCCATATTTAGTTAAACCATTCTGTTTTTCTCGTAAATTGGTTACTTAATTAGTTTTCATGTGGTTCAATTAGGCCAAGAGGGTTAATGTGCTAAAAGAATCAAATTTCGTGTGCTATTTTGTATTTTTCAAATAATTTATAGACTAGAAGTCTAATGTAATATTTTAGTACCATATAAACATGTAGCTTAAATTTTTAGAATTATGTTTTAAATATCAATTTAAATGTTATCCTTCAGTGTAACAGACACTTTTTAACAGCACAAAACTTGAGAAAATTATTGACAAGCTGCTTTCACTTTCATACCAATGATCACTTCAGTTTGATGATCACAAAAACTTGAGAAAGTTGTTGATAGGCTGCTTTCACTTTCATACCAATGATCACTTCAGTTTGATGATCACAAAAACTTGAGAAAGTTGTTGATAGGCTGCTTTCACTTTCATACCAATGATCACTTCAGTTTGATGATCACAAAAACTTGAGAAAGTTGTTGATAGGCTGCTTTCACTTTCATACCAATGATCACTTCAGTTTGATCACTTCAGCTTAGTTGATATATTTTTAAATGTCTCATTTAGACGAATTGGGCCAAGTGGCGAAACGAGTGCAGGAGGCGATTGACAAAGCGTGGACCCATCTGGGTCAGGTGTCTGCCCTGGAAAAGGAGGTGGAAATACTGGAGAGTATGCATATTAGAGACACAGATGGAATGTACGAACATGCCAAGAAGCTCATCCCGTTCTTCAAAATTAGAGAAAGTCAGTTTTGCAACAATTTTTTTTTTTGGGGGGGGGGGGTCTTTTAAAGGGGTTGTAAAAAGTTTGTTAGATGCTTACCAGTCAATTAACCAATCAATTGTTAGCCTACCAAACAATTACCCAATTAAGAATCAACCGTAAAACTCATCCCATTCTTCAAAATCAGAGAAAAGTTATATATTGTATTGCTAATTGTTCCGACTTTCGATATGAAAGTAGCGGAATATTTGTGCTCGGGTGGGTTTTTTTCTTCAGACAAATGCAAATTTTGACTTATTAACTAGCCATTTTTGATGGAATTTTTTAGATCATTCAAAAGGTATTGTTGTCCTGAGCTTAAATTTGAAAAAATATTTCACCTGTGATCATTTTTCGTAAAGTTATGGGGTTTTAAAGATTCCCATTTTGGCCAATTTGGGACATTTAAATTTGTAGTTTAGTTCTCTTGCTAAATTTCAATTTTTTCCTAATTTCAATCACGTTTATAAAAATTTATAAAAAGTCACGTATTTTTGTTATTGTTTCAATTGGGTTTTATTCGCCATACCCGCGTTAGAACGCAAACCACCCCCTCCCCACATGTTCACTACACCCCCACTAAACATCCGCACCTGGATAGGCGATTATGTAGTATGGGATGACGTGTGTGTGTGTGTGGGGGGGGGGGGGGTAAACCTTTACCTGTACTACATAGTTACCTGTCGCAGTGGGGAAGTAAGTTGTTTAGTGGGGGTGTGTTGAACGCGTAGAGAGGGGTATTTTGGGTTGAAAAGCGGGGAAAGAGGAGGAGATGGTGAACGAGGGGAGGGGGACGTGGGGGGGACTTTTAAAAAAAAATCGAAAATTTAGTTGAAAACCATGTTGGCCGCCCCTGGATGAACGTGTTCGTTCGAAATTTGCAGAAATCTCATGGGTTTTATGTACAAAAAATAATCCAGTACATTGTAAACAAAATAATGGATGAAAAAAGATATATGTTTTTTTTTTTAAATTAATTGATTAAAATGGATTAAAAATCCATTACTATGTCTAAATTTGCTATGATGATCGACTATATACACAGCATTTTAGTCAACAAAAATCTGTTATAATCGATTTTGTCTATGAAACCTTGGCGAGGGTAGTAATCCGAACTTGATTCGACCCTGTTCGATTGTTGGACATCGTAGACTATTTCGGTCATTTCGGTAAATAAACAATTCTCCGACCGAGTAGGACCGTCGAACTAAATCATTCCTCGTTTTTTTCTTCTTCAAACAGAGTTTCCACAAAAGCGAGCTCTTCTTTTTATTCCACTATTGAAAATTGGGAGGAATATTGTACTCGGGTGTGCTTAAATTTAAAAAAAAACTGTTTGTTTCCGACTCAAAATTAGGTACGACACAATCATCGGAATCAGTCGGGTGATATATCATATTTAAACCCTTTCAGTCGTGATTCGAACTACATTAAAAAGTTTTCAAAAAGTTGTCCCAGCGTCGAGAAAAACTTGTCCTAAAAATTTGAGATTTAGCCTAATTTCGAGAGAGTAACCCGATCAAGTAACGCACTATGTATGGATATTTATTGTTTTTGAATGACTTTTAGGCTATGAAAAACATGATTTTGCTATAAAAAACTTTTTTGTATATTTCATTGGTAAAGAAGGGTTTTGAGAGTTTATGAACGTAGTCGCAAAAGTAGTCGCAGTGTAATATAGTTCGCATTGTTTTTTAGTTCGTTTTTTTTTCTGGAAAAATCTTGAATTTATTCAGGCTCAATTTTTTAGTTTTTCGTTGCTTGATTTTCGATTTCTTTTTAAGTTCAACTCTTTTCTTTTATTGAATGCAAACTCTACTATTGAACAGCAAAAAATTTTAAGGTCACGGAAAACTATAATAATCTATAATAACGAAAATGGAATTGAGTTTTGAGATTTTACAGCGAATCGAAAATTTAAGTTTTTGATTTAGTTTTTTAAATTGTGTTAACTTTGTCATATATTGTTCTTGAAGTTAAAAGAGCTTTATATGCATCTTTTTTCTTTGAAATTTGAAAGTTGAGAGCTGAGAAACATTTTTTTTCTGTTTATTTACGTTCATTTCGTTTTTCCAACTGTCTTTTGGCTATGTTCTAAAAAAGACTTTAAATTATTGGGCAAAAAAATTTGATTTTTTTCATTTTTATAGTTAAATAATGTTTACTTTTTGACGGTAATTGTTGTCGATCATGCCTAAATCGCTAATTTTCTACACGCTCGTATAAATGCCGAGTCACAACACCCACTAAATTGCCACTAACTTGAATAATTTTTTTTTCAATTTTTTTTCATAATTTTTTTCATGAATATTTTCGGAACATTTCGTGCTACTTGCACAGCAACAGACTATTTTCGCATATATTTGTTTCTTTTTTCTATTCAGTTTTTTTTGTCGTAGAGTTGGTGATTGCGATGTCTGACATGGACTATGAGTCACTGAGGGGGGCTCTGAAAGTGATCGACAGTAAGCCAGAGTACCAGGAGTGGCTGGCATTGGAGTACCCAAGAGCGTGCAAGTAAGAGCTACTTTTTTAATGGTTTCATGTTATTTTGAAGGTTTAGAAAAACTGAAAACCATCAAAAAAAGAAAAAAAGAAACTATTTTAAAATTTTAGCAGCCTTTATTTCAATAGTTTTTGCTAGCTGTAATTTGAGGCAGTAGAAATTCCAAAAAAATGGACTCAATTTGATTAAAAAATGGATAGTTTTAGCAATTTTTCTGAATCAGTTTAAATCTATTCAATGTGATTCCATGTGGTTTCAAACTAAAAATTTAGACAGAAAAGGAATGAAATAGTTTACATTTCAACTTAATTGAAAAATTATTGAACTAAAATTTTTTCTTGAGATTTTAGAAGCAATTAAAGAAACGGTTTTTGTTATCTATTAAATAAAAACAAAAAAAAATTTAAAAAAAATTCAATGTTTTTTTTTGGTTTCAAAGCAATAAAAATCATGTTTAAAATCTGATTTTTTATGACCGGTAATTAGAAATTAATAGAAATTTTAAATTCTTTTTCAGGCTTCTAAGACAGATGGAAAAACGTCGTCACATCCGAGACAAGGGGAGGGATTTGAATCAGACTTGTGTAACTGAGATTAGGAGATTCAACAAACCTCTGCCGATGTTACATCAAGTGATGATGGGGGTATTCGCTCTATTGGGATATCCGAAAGACAGTATCAAGGTCAGTCATTTATGTCGAAGTTATTAAGATAGATTTCTATGAAAAACTCCGGTGAAGGTAAGGAGACGGGTCTGATCCAGACACTTAACTTGAGAAACAATTAAGAGAGACAGCTATCAAGGTCAGTCATTTAGGTGTTCATTATCGCTTAATTGTTTATCAATAGCATCAATTTTTTTTAACTTTAGAGGAAGCGTTTTTTTTAGATTATTTTTGTGTGCCCTCCAAGCCGCTCCGTTGAAAGTTTTGATTTTGAAACAGTTTTGGCAACAATTTTTGATCAGTATTACAAGTATGAGAATGCAAAAAATTCGATAAAAGCTATCTCGTTTTTTGATGAACTTTGATAGACATTCTTTTTTGCAAAGAGGGAGGTTTTTACATCTTGCGAAACTGTTTTTAAGAATTAGGTTTATCGAAATGTCGCGATAGAATTAAATCTCCGCCTGGTTTGTATAGTCACAGCAAAATTGGTGTCAAATAATTCAAGGGTTATGAAACGAACGACATCCTCTTGTTAAAGTTCCGTGGAAAGTCTTGAAGAATTAGCTCCAAATTGTACAACCGAGAAATAAACAAATGTAGATTTTCATATCGAAGCAACTCTTTTTTTTTTGTCTCAAGAGCTTTAAGTTGGTTTTTCAGATCAACAAATTCTCTCTAAGTGGTTTTTAGGCAAACTAAAAATTAAACAAATAGTTAGCTTGAATGATAATCAAATATTTGCTGCGAATTTATTTTGTTTATGATTTACGAAAAAAATGATTTACTCTCAATTTTTGCAGTTGAACTTGATTGCTTCACGGAACGTATGTTTAAATTTTTGGATCTCTCTGCTGACTGGAAAATTTTCGAAACAATTCCAATAATTTTCAAAGACTTTCGACAGCATGCACTTATGGAAATGTCTTTTAGAAAACCCTTTAAAGACTCAGCCAAAAATGGAAGTCGTAAAGTAGCAAGAAAGTGACAATCCTTAAGGTGGTCTAAGATATAGTTCCCATGGCAAGTTCACCAGCCTGAAACCCGCATACCCCAAACTGTAAAATTTTTGAATTGTATGCGGATTCCGCAACAGGCCGAAAACAGATTTGTCGCGGTTTTCTTTTAGGTTTTTTGCCGTTTTGGATTCCACAAGCAAATAGCTAAATCACTCTATCGCTCAAAATTTCTCTATAAACATACGAATTTGCGCACTCGGCAAACAAAATCAAGATATATGCGTATAGTAAAATTTCGCAGTCGTGGAATCCGCAAAATGTAAGCGGAATCTTTGGAATCCGTATATATTCGTATATTTGCTGAATGCGGTTACATTGGCGGAATCTGGATCAAATAGCAAGTTTCGCTCGTTGCAGAAACCGCGATAAACCTAATATGCGGACAAAGATTTCGTTACAAGTGTTTGTGAGCAGAACCCGGAAGTTTTGTTAGTGTAATCCACTTACATTTTAAAACAGTTCAAAGACATGTCTCTGGAATCCAGGAACATACAGACATCAAATTGTGCGCCTATCCAGTGCACACTTTGGCCTCGTAATGTTTGAAAAAATGAAAGAAAGTGATTATTTTTCATCTTTGGTTATTAGCAGATGTGATAAAGAGAGTTTTTGATGAAAGATAGGCATTTCATAAATGATATTTAGAGCTATGGAACCAGTTTAAAATAACATTTATAACCAATTATGTTCTTGATAAAACTATCTCCATAAAATATTACCTACTAACCAATCATGATCCATAACTAACCCTGACAGTTTTTTGCAACCATCTTCTGATCTGTTGCAGAAGTGGGAGTTCATCCAGAAGGAGATGGGTAGACCGGGTAGAGATGGGACCCTCTTCAAAGTGCAGTCTCTTCGAGTGCATGAAATAGAAGAAAAGCAAGTGTCTCTGGCGGCTAAGATTCTGGCACAAGTGGATGAAATGGATGTGAAAAGTCTGACTTCAAGTGCTGCTGCGTTTTACGAATGGGTAAGTAAATTTTTTATAGTTTTGATTAAATTTATCGGAAAACGTACAAGTTTTATGTAATATTTCTGACTTTCAACTTCAAACTAAATCGAAATATTTCTTTAAAGTTTTGCGTTTACTTTTTTGTCGGCGTTTTTTGTGTTATTTTTCGTCTGAAAAGTTACATTTATATATAGTTATTCTTATAGTTTTTTCATTTGGGCTCTTGAAATAAGGCAAGAGAAATTCTCCGAAAAAGCGCAAAATGAATTTGCCTCGCTTTTTTCAGTTCAAATGTATTTTTGAAAATTCGATTGCAGTTTTAACATCAATTCACTGTTTCAAGAGCAGAGTTCTTTAGTAAATTTAAAACGTTGTCCAATAAATTTGTTGAAAACTATTTTCGCAGCACTGAAAACAGGCTGAATTGCCTTAAGTGTCTCCGCCATTTGGTGATCTTCGAATGTTAACATAATGTTTTTTAACTTTTTGTAGCGCGCATAACTTGAAAACAATTTTTTTTTTATAAGTTGGCATTAATGAAAAATTCACTTTTCTCTTGCTCATTTTAAAAATTGTAATGCAATCCTATTTTTTTGTGCCATTTGTCTCAAGTTTCAAAACCAGCAGCCCGTTTATATAATATAAATCAAACAATCAGATGTTACTCTGCCGAGAGCCGACCCATAAAACTGCAAAAGTAATACGTCAAAATATTCTTTTAACCAATTTCTTCTTTTTCCTACTATTAAAATAATATTTAAAATAAACTGTTTCCAAAAGATATGTAGTTACAGATTTATTATATATATTTTTTCAAAAATAAATCTGAATCTATGGGAGAACACGGCCCGTTTTCAGGTGTCTTTTTAAGCGGAAAACAAAAAAATATGTCAAGCTTCTTAGATTCAGTGGATCGTACTAGTGGTAATAAATTATTAAACGTACACTTCTTCATACCCGCCTTCCAATTCTTTTCTTTGAAAAAAATATGTTTTTCGTTTTCTCGGGTAGTATTTTTTGTCCATAACCTAGAAACGAACATCAACATATTCTACAATTTCCTTAAACAATTCTCAAAACATGCTCATTTATACCATATTTCCTACAATTTTGTTTTCCTAAAGTTTATGATATTTGAATCAGAGAAGCCCTTTTCAAAACGCGCATTTTGCCATGACTTGAGGTTAAAAATGAGGTATTCATATATTTTTTTGCTTTCCACATGATTTAAACAATAATCACCATCCCCCGCCAAAAAAAGCCGCGTGAATTGCCAATGAGATTTTGTATGATAATTTACGCTTTCCAGGTTTTTTAGTAGACTTCGAAAAATTTGGAACGGAGAATCTTTGAAAAAAGCCGACAAAACTGGTTTTTTTAAAATAATTTTTCTCTGATTTTTTTTTAAAACAGGCGGTGAAAAAATTTGTTTCTCATAATTTTTTTTGTTTTGTTTTAGCAGGCAATGAAGAACCTTTTTCCCTAACTTCTCTCTGTTTTCTTTTACAGGCGCGGATCTAGAAATTTCTCGAGGGGTGGCGGATTTTCAAGAAAATTTTGTCGACCTTTTCTTAGGTCGAGCAAATTGATCTTCTGAGCTATCCCAAACCACTATAAAGACCTTAAAATGACCAAATTTTCTGCTTTACTTAAGCGTTTTTAGGCACTTTTTGGAAAGTTTCGACCAAAAAATCGCGTTTTTTTGGCGCGCGCTCCCCCTCAAAATTAGTTAAAACTGGCGCCAAAGGCGCTTCTAGAAATTTTTTTAATTGGTCAGTCAGCCAAAAATGGATATCCCAAAATAGTACAAAGAAGGACCCTTTGGGTCGGCAGGGGGTCGAATCCCTGAGGGGGGGGGGGGGGGGGGGCGTCCCCACATTAAATCCGCTACTGTTCTTTTATCAAGCGGTGAAAAAAAATTCTAATTTTTTGTGTTTTTGTTAACAGGCTGTGAAGAAACTGCGACTGGCGATGAAGTTTTTGAATGGTTATGAAGTCACAGAAGCGGAGGAAAGGTCATCCACTGTTCCCACTACGGGGTCATCCACCGCCAGGACAATATCAACTGCTGCAGCTGCACAAAGAGACAGGTACTGTAGGAGGTCTTTTCAACCCCCCTCCCCCCCCCCCCCCCCCCCCCCCCACACACACACACACTTAGTTTTCGATTTAAAACTTAAAAATCTAATTCAATTTGGTTATTATGGTATTATGCAATGAATCTGCGAAATGTCTGCGTTATTCGGCAATGAATTTATTGAGAACACTATTTTTTTGTATACGTTAAGTCGTAATATTTCGCATTTTGCCGTAATAGCATGAAAAACAAAGTTGAAAAAAAAATTAAAAAATAGAATGATGGATTGGGCGGGTGACTTGCTGAAAACAAGCCACTTTATCATGTTGCAAAATTGGATAATTCTTCTAATGCTCCCCACGTGCATTCTTGTTTTTCAATTATAACCAATACATGCTACGTTAGAGTTTTCTTGCACACCCAAAATTAGTTAGAACCAGTATTCTAAAAAAAAAACATTTCAAAATTTTTTTTAGTTTTTGAAAAAATTTTCTTTCAACAGCCTTTTTTTATTTAAAAGAGTTATTTGTTCTAAATTTTGACATGAAACAAATTTTTAGTTTTCTAACTTTACAAAGAAAACAATTTTTGCCAATCGTTTTGTTTTTAGACTTGCACTGGTGAACATTTCTTGACCTAGCAAAATATTGACGCTCAAAAAACTATAAAAAAATTGTTGTTAAAAAATTCGAATCAAATACAAAACAAGGATTCGATGTAGCTATCCAAATTTTTTCAGAACTGTTTAAATCGGATCAAGAAAACTAGTTAGATAACGTTTATTTTCATTGAGTGTTTGAAATATGAAAATTTTTATACTTTGTTAAAATTGGTTCTGACTTTCTTCCGTGATGCTATAGAAGGACACAAGAACAAATCGATTTCGGTTGACTAGAATTGCTTTCCGTTTGTTTCCTGTGTTAATAAATCATACTAGTGTTTTTGTATTACATTCCAAGCCTTTATTTATAGGTCTGCAAAAAAATTCTAATATTTTTTCCATACTCTGAACAAACAATCCCGTAGCTTGATTGGTGAAAACCTGAGAAAAAAACTGCATTTGAAGATTTACTATCTAAGTTCTTGGTTTGAAATTTACAAAGAGTTATTTCAAGAATTACAAGAATCATATTTTGTTTCGAAAGTTCGCGATGACAAAAATCACTTTAAACTGTTGCAACGAAGCATCCAGTAATCCTAAATACAGAAACCAAATGTGCGCAATTTGATCCAGAGCGCTCATTGCCGTTGTATGTATCACGGCACTGAGTACATTCACAATTACTTGCAACATAAGTTAGTCTTCGTTGTGCTCCAAAAAAAGACTCAGACAGACAAATCATAATTCAGACAAATAAATCACTGCAGAAGGTTCAAAGGCAGAGGTTTACATCCACTCATGGCTGATTTGCCGCCAATAAGTATCGACAATCTATCTGGTGATCCATTCCCGTTCAAAAACGGATTGAGTTTACAGGGTAATTCTAACATTGCAACAAAAGATACAACTGGAGGAACTAAATTTGCTTCTTCACACTCCTCTTGCATCATGCACCTGGAATCGACTGCGAACAAGAAAATAACGGAAATTAGAAGCTTCATTGCTAGAAGAGACACACCTAAGCTTTTAATCTCTACAGCGCTAATTACTTGGTCCGCACCTGTAAGCAACTACGCTCAGAACCAATTAACTTAAATCAAACCACGCCAACTGAAAAGCTACAAAGCCACAATGAGAAAAGTGCGTCTAGACTTTTCCTCTGTTTCTCACTCTGGCGGGGTAAGGGAGCGACTCGTTTCAATATCTAAATCTCGGTTCTGGTCGGCTATCAAGATATCTTTTAAGTAATATCGTAGTCGAGGTTGAGGCAATTCTTAACTCTCGTCCACTAACTCATTTCAGTAGTGACTTTGACGACCTTCCACTGACATGCAACCTCTTCCAAATGGGTCGGATGGTATCGCGCGCTCGTCTAATCTTCAAACAACGCTGGTACTTTAACAAGACCAGCGATGATACAACAAGAAAACTAGTTAGATAACGTTTATTTTCATTCAGTGTTTGAAATATGAAAAAATTTGATACTTTGTTAAAAATAGTCTCGACTTTCTTCCGTGATGCTATAGGAGGGCACAAGAACAAATCGATTTCGGTTGACAAGACTTACTTTCCGTTCGGTTCCTCTGTTGATAAATCAAACTAGTTGTACTGGTTTTGTATTACATTCCAAGCCTTTATTTATACGCCTGCAAAAATTCTAATATTTTCTCCATACTCTGAACAAAAAAAACCCGTAGCTTGATTGGCGAAATCCTGAGAAAAAAACTGCATTTGAAGATATACCATCTAAATTCTGGGTTTGAATTTTACAAAGAGTTATTACAAGAATTACAAGAATATTTTTTTGTTTCGAAAGTTCGCGATGACAAAAATCACCTTGAACTGTTGCAACGAAGCATCCAGTAATCCTAAATACACAAACCAAATGTGCGCCAGTTGATCCCGAGCGCTCATTGCCGTTGTATGTATCACGGCACTGAGTACATTCGCAATTACTCGCAACAAAAGTTTGTCATCAGTGTGCTCCGAAAAAGAGTCAGACAGTCAAATCATTATTTAGACAGATAAATCACTGCAGAAGGTTCAAAGGCAGAGGTTTACATTCACTCATGGCTGACTTGCCGCCAATTAGTATCGACAATCTATCTGGTGATCCATTGCCGTTCAAAAACGGATTGAGTTTACAGGGTAATTCTACATTGCAACAAAAGATACAAATGTAGGAACTTCTTCACACTCCTCTTGCACCATGCACCTGGAATCGACTGCGAACAAGAAAATAACGGAAATTAGAAGCTCCATTGATGGAAGAGACACACCTAAGCTTTTAATCTCTACAACGCTAATTACTTGGTCCGCACCTGTAAGCAACTACGCTCAGAACCTATTAACTTAAATCAAACCACGCTAACTGAAAAGCTACAAAGCCACAATGAGAAAAGGGCGTCTAGATTTTTCCTCTGTCTCTCACTCTGGCGGGGTAAGGGATCGACTCGTTTCAATATCTAAATCTCGGTTCTGGTCGGCTATCAAGATATCTTTTAAGTAATATCGTAGCCGAGGTTGAGCCAATTCTTAACTCTCGTCCACTAACTCATTTCAGCAGTGACTTTGACGACGACCTTCCACTGAAATGCAACCACTTCCAAATGGGTCGGATGGTATCGCGCGCTCGTCTAATCTTCAAACAACACTGGTATTTTTACAAGACCAGCGGTGAAACTTACCCTCGTTTCTCCAAAAAAGAAGATTTAAGACCACTACTTCACTTGAAATACTAAGAAACATGTTGCTCAACCCCTTCCCCTTCGACCGTCTTCCAGACTTAGACCGCCCTCTACTCGATGATATTCATTATACGAAGTTTTTCACAAGAATTATCGAGAAAAGGCGGTAAAAAATTGTCAAATATTGTCGTGATTTGATGGAACTAAATTACAAAAAATTTCGACTTCTTCAAAATAAAGGACAATTAAAACTTAAAAATCGGCCTTTTGAAGACTTAAATAAGGCTAGAAAGCTTTTGTTTTGAGAAGTTCAGTGCTTGAAGTTCACAGCCTTTTTCTGACAGATCTGCTTCATCTTACTAATCAAAACAAATTAAAAGATTCTGACGTCACACAAAACACTTATTGTGATTTTAAAATCTTTTATGTGAAACGATTTCTGGATCACGTCGTAAACGCAAATTTTACTGTAAATTTAAGATCGAGTATACATTTCTATGTGAAAAAAAATTTACCGATTAGACTGAAATTTCTGTGAAAGTTTAGGAATTTGAGGAACACATAAATTCACATAGTATGAACTTAGGAAATCGGGAAAATGAGGAACAGGGCAATTAGCCAAATTTAGTTTCAAATGAGCCTGAAAAAAACACTCGAGTATTATGACTCATATCTTATTGTTTTGTTAAAAACAAAACATGATAACAATCTTCTTCGAAATAATACTTACTTTAAATTGATTGCTTTTCACTTCTATCGGGACTGACTATTAAATAAAAATATAATTGGTTAATATTCAGGTATTTTTGATCAAGGTTTTAATCATCCAAAGTATCATCAAAATCTTTCAATCATCCAAGTTCTATTTAGTCTAGTTTTATGGAAGATAGTTCTCTTTTTTCAGGTCAAGGTCAAACGAACGAGATAATAGTTCAAGAAAATATCATCAGCAGCACTTGTCGAGTGAGAGTAAACTTCAAGGAAGCGCTCAGGAATTGTTGGATGACGAGATTGTGAAAGAACTCATAGAAACAGGTCAGATATTTTGACAAATCAACTTTTTTAATTACAGAAGCAGTTAGGGAGCATTTTAAGTTTGTATGCTTTTCGCTTTCTGTAGAATTTCGTGATTACTTTCTAAAATATTCAGTTGCTTTTAACCATTCGATTAAAAATCATAAAATCGCTTTAGGCCTTTATTAGGACTTCATCATTTTTTTGCTCAAAAGAAAATAATTTTTAGAAGATTAATTTTAATAGACTAATAAAATAATCTCAAAATAATTCTTTCAACATTTGTTCCAGAGGAAGATAAGCTTGATGAAAAAATCGTTTTAGGCGTTTATTAAGGTTTAAATTTTTTTCTCTTTTCCAGAGCCAGAGAAGCCCAACCGGTCCAATAGTGCAACGAGGCCCAGTACGGGAAGGTCATCCACCAATCTACCCTTAGAGTACACAGCCACTGCAGTCAACACTATTCGCAACCAGTCCCGACCCAGAACAGCTGTATCAGTCACCAGGTATAACACAAAAGTTATAAATTATAATTGGTTTTATAATTAAATTGAGTTCAATAAAAATACAGATCAGCCGGTTGTTGGGCAAATAGAAGAAGAGAGAAATAGAAGAAATAAAGAAAGTTCCAACAATATTCAGTAAAAACAGTTTTTTTTTTCGTTTTTTTTCTAATTTGGGTAGATTTTTTTGCTTGATCCGATAGGAACCCGGGTGACCTCCATACACCGAAAATGCTTATCAAACAATTCCATACATCAGTTGTATGGAAAAACACTTGCCATAAAATTTTCGTACAGTTTGGAAAACTGGTTGAAAACATTTATAAAAAAATTTCTGCGGCTGTTTGATTCTAATAAAACAGTCTGGTGATGAGAAAACTAATTCTTTGGTGGTACAATTTAATTTTTGGTTTATGGAAAAATATTTGTCATACAATTTTAGTATATGGAAAAATGCTTATCATAGAGATTTCATACAAGTTTCTGTACGTATGGAATTGTTTGGTAAGAAGTTTTTCATATGTGGAAATTGTATGATAAGAAGTTTTGGTCAACCCGGGAAGAAAGAAATGAAAGCTTGGAACGCTAGTAAATAAGGTATAATCGACTTCAGTTGTCTTTCAAAAACGGAAAACAAAACAATAAAGATGAAAAACATTTCTTATGCTCACATCTACTCGCTCCAATTTACACTTAAAGTTTTTTTTAAATATGACCGGTTTTCCAAAAACTGAGAATGTTTGTGGACTTAAATTCACGACGAAAAATCAGTATTACAGTAAATCATTCAAATCATTCTGATTATTCATTTTGCGCTAGATTTTGCTGTAGTCAAGATGAAATAAATTTACAGGTTCTGATGAAGTTATGACCTTTTGTCTTAAATGATTGTTGCGATTTTGTATTGAAGTACTTTTTAGGTTTTTTATGCACATCAGGTACAACTAACAAAGATCGCATCAGGTCAAGTTATATAAATTAAATGTCAAGTAGCCTAGTGAAGACGCTCATAATAGTCACGATAGTTTTCTTTCCTTTTTTAGAGAAAGTCTCCTGAGTTCCTCATGATCATTTTTGCATTTTCGCATTTATTTTTCTTTTTTGTTTTCAAGCTCAGATCATTTCAGTTTTTAAAAAAATGGCGAATTCCCCTTTCGAGCAGCAAATGTTTAAAAGTAGCAGAAACGTCATAGATGTGTAGATTTAAGCTTAAGATTTTCGAGCGGAATTAAAGAAAAAACGTAAAGCTCCAGTTTTCTCAAATTGGATGAAGTGTATTACACTTTAGTACTCGATTTTTTTTCCCGTAAATAACCATATTTTTAAAATGGTCAAAAACAAAAATGGTGTTTTGATTTCAGTTTATAAAGTTTTAAAATATTTTTGCGTCTCTAGCACACTTGGCCTGGAGGTAACAAATAAGCCTTGAAAGTCAAAGTCCTGGTTTCGAATCTGACAGAATTTTTTTTTCGAATTAGAAGTATTCAGTTTCAAAAATATTGCTGGTTTATGCCTGTCTTTGAATGTTTTTTTTTGGCTCAGTTCCCCCATCGTAGATTTTTTTGCTGCAAGCAATTTCCATAGTAATTGCTTCAAATTTTTTGATTTATTTCTGAAGCTTTTTTGTTCGCCTTGACTTCGCATAATTCCCTTTTTTGTTTTTGTTTTGCTCAAAAACTCAACTCTGTCCAATATATTTTTTCGGCTTATATTTTTTGGCTTAGTGGCCGTATATTACGTCGTTTGATGACCGAAGAAATTGTTCTTGTGTGAGTGTTTTAACGGGAAGGCTGATGCGAACTTTGTTTTTAAAGTTGTAAAGTCATTTTGAGTTCTTTTCCGTAAAAACGGCGTCCGCTCAGGTACTCTCTACTGTTTTTACCGCTTGATAAGTAATCTTCCGATGATAGTTTTCGATTGTAGTGGCATATTTTTATATTCAAAACTAGCTTTAATATTTTTGATACATCCAGTTTTTTCGGTAGTTCTGAACTTTTTCGACTATTTGCTTAAGCTTTTCAATTTTCTCTGATTGTATTTGAATGAGTTTCAAGGGCTTATACATTTTTTTGAACTTAAGAGTGAGTTCTTTTTCGAAAACCTAGATAATTTTTTCTACAGTTTCCTTGCGTTCGTAGCGGAACAACGTTTTTTTTATTGTTTAGCTAATTTACGGTTTTATTTCGAACATTTTTACAGTCGGTGTTGTTAGTAACCTTAATTGAGCGAAACCTTGAGGAACTTCTTCGAATAAGGAAAGGTGATTGCAATGCAAGTGGCTGAGAATCTTTTCTTTGCCAACCTTTCTGTCATTTTTTTTCTCACTCAAATCTCTTTGAATTACGCTAAAAGCTGCTGAAAAAAAGGAAAAATAGCTTAAAAAAGTAAAAAAATTTAATAGAGCTGACTTGAGAACTCAATATCGTTCTTAAATTTTTGGCCATTCAAACTAAAAAAAAAACGGAAAAATTCGGACCCGTTTTTCTCGGAAATCAGAAAAATCACTCTTTTCTCATTTTTTTTTGGAATCCGAACCGCGACTGATAGGGATTTTATTATGCTTTCACACTCAATTACCTCAATTTTTTTGTCTGCCTGGTTATTTTTGGCAAAGTATAGGTTTGTTTTAATCATAAAATTTGTTTATAATATCTGAGATGAAAACTTGTTAATGTTTTTGCAATTTTAGGTCCCGCCCAACTACTAGCCAGGATCCGAATGCCCGAAGTGACTACATTGAAGAGTTCCACCCAGCAATTGATGGTCACGTGGCAACACCAAATATAAAACCGGAGAATGATCCAGGATTGTCTAAGAAGCCAGCATCGTCTTCAAAGAGTGTGAAAATAAAAACAGACGGAGACTATGATAAAGCCACGAAGACAGGTTTATTACCTTTGCATGTTTCTTGATTTATTTTCCTTCAACATTCTAAGTTTTTGGTTTCCAAAGCCTCAAAATTTTGACGCACAGAATCCAACATCATTTCATGTTTTATGACAAAAATCAGATTTTTTTTCTGCTTTAGTTGTTATGTTTTTTTGCAAGCTAAGTTTTTTTGCAACTCTTGCAAATTAAATCATATCTTATTATAACAAATCATATCTTAGACTCTTCAAAAGAATTTTTTAAAACAATTGATACTTCAATTGAGTTCTGTACTTTGAAATTATAATCGCTGCAAAACTTTCAAAGCTTCGAGAAAAGTATGGAATGAATTGATTTACCCTACAAAAATCCAGAAATTTTTTTTAAAAAATGGAAAATTTCCAACATTGCTTTGAACTGGTTTTGCGGTAACTTTTTGTTATGTTTTTAGACCCCTCAGCCCCAGCCAAAATTATTCCTGGTTCGACGTTTGATGAAAAAGCAGATTCGAGGTCTTCCAAAAAGCCGCCTTCATCTTCGAAGAGTGTCAAAATCAAAAGCGATGATGAAGAAGAAAAAGAAGTTGCAAAGAAATCTAAAGAAGCAGGTATGTTAATTGACAAAACAACCCAATGAGAAGGGGAGCAGTGATAAATGTTATGGGTTAGAGCTCACCGAAGAAAAAGTTTTTTCGTTAGTTAAAATCTGTATAAAAAATACCTTGAAAACGACATTTCAAATCGGCAATGCATTGCAAACATGTAAGCAAAATCTCTATAGTTTTGAACAAAAGAGGAAATTCTAGAAAAAAAGTACTTAAATTATGGGTTTTCGAAATCAGGCTAAAAATATCTCGACAATAAATATGCATCTGTTTTCAAATTGAAAATCCTTCTTGTCATATTTCTGATAATTTTTCAGAAATGGAGATCACAGCTGACAAAACCAAAAATTGTTCTTTGTCACGCTCGGTAACTCAAACTTTACTTTCAACGCCTACAAAAAGTCCGAAACCGAAAGCGGAGATAACCAGTCGCGATTTAAAACCACTGAAACGATCCCCTACTATGACCAAGATCTTGGCCGAAGCTGAGTTCGGCCCCAGTTCCGAAGTTGCAAAAGCCGACGAAAAGCTGCGAGACACAAAGTCGTCGCCAAGCGAGAAGCCGAGTACGAGCCAATCCGACAAGAGTGCGTCAAAAAAATCCGACAAGCAGCTCGAAACTTCGACAACATTTAAATCAGCCAGTCGCGAAACAGTGCTTAGTGAAGACGCAAATAGCTCTGCTAATCGAAGTCAAAATCACTCGGATTCGGGAATGAGAGTCGACGAAACAGGATCGTCTCGTATGAATAGTGGAGTGTTACGAGTCGTACTTTCCGACGACATAGAGCAAGTCGGCGTTGACGAAGTAGACGAAATATCACAAAGGCGAAAAGACCAACAAAGGGCACATGTCCGAAGTCTCGAAAGCCGAACGCTAGAAAGCCGACAGACAACTGAACGAAGCATCAAGTCTGAAAACATGTTGGCGCCTCCGCAGTTTGAGCATGAAAAACTCGTGGAAAAACTGGGAGTGTTAGCTGCGGAACAATCACGTGATCCGCGCTTTGGAAATATGCCGCCGCCGACTCCGATTGTAATTCCACCGACGCCGCTTCTCGAACGGGCGGCATCGGCGCACTCGTTGAATTCGAACCTCTCAGAGAAAGAAAATAGAACGTCTTAGTAATTTCAAGTTACGAATAACAAAAATATCAAAAAGGACAGACAATTTTTTCAGTTTTTAGAAGCTTTCAAGTGAAATGCCATGACGACAATAGAAATGCAAATTAAACTGAATAAATTGATTGTGAATTTATGTTAATGTTGTCTGTTTTAACTTTTGATATTTTTAAAAGCAAAAACGAAGGTAGAAGTTGAGAATGTAGTATTGTAAAAGTATTGATCCCAATTCAGCAACAAGTGATGAAGATATTCTTGGATTGAAAAAAAAAAATATATATATATATATATATAAAAGTTTTTGATCGACTTTTTTGGATCATTACTTCTGCTCAAAATATGCCGATTGTTTAAAATAACAGAAAAACATTGGCAATGGCTCTTAACTGAGATAGTAGTGAAATTGAGAATCTCCCAAAATCCGTTTTTTTTACAAGGAAAAATTCTCGATTGTTGTCAAGTTGCGCAATATGATAAAAACGAGTTGGTTAGAAACAAAGGAAGAATTTTTTTCCTGAAAAACCAATTTAAATATGCACATTTTCAATTGTATTTTATCAACATTACTTTGAAGGAGAGGATAGACAAAATACATGAAATAGACCAGCTGAAAATCTACACTGAAGAAAAACTTAGGCCAAAAATTCTGCAACAATTAAGTACAAAAAATTTAGAAAAAAATTTGCTTTGAAATTGCAAAAAATTACCTTCGAAAAATGTTCACTCGAATTAATTACGAGGCCAAATTGTGTATTTTAGGAATTTGTAAGCGGATTCCGCAACAAGGACGCTCCCTTTGTTTTTTCGTTTTCATGGATCGCTCCGACAATATTTTAAAATGTTTAAAAACTTTTTTAATTTAAGGCCGAAAAAAATTAAAATGATAATTTTTTCATTTACTAGCAAAAAAACCAGTTGCTGTGCAAATTGCACAGATTTGTGCAACAGCAAGAATAAAATTTTTGAATTTCAAAAAATAAATTAGAAACGAAACAAAAATGTTTTTTTTTTCTGATGTTTTTTTTCCAGTAAAAAGCAACAGATTTAATTTAATGAGACAAAATAATATTGAAGTTTAAGTATGAATATCACGGTTTTTGATGCAAAGGGCTGCGCTGGTACTTGCCCTAAAAACTAGCAAATAGCCAAACTAAAATTTGCTTTTTTCTCCAGTGCATGCGTTTTTTGTTCAACCATTCAGGGGTTTTTCGTCACAAATTCATAATCTAAAATGACAGTATGGGCACACCGAAAAAACTTTGAAAATGTTTTGCCCATAAAAGTTTCAGATTTACATTTTGGATAGCTTAACGAATTGTGAGCAAGGTTACAGAGATATTAAAAACTTCTAGAAAAAAGAAGAAGTTGATTATTTAATGATCATCAATCTTGAAAGTTATTTCTGGGATTTATCATAACTATCTTTGAACAAAATGAGGAGGCGAGGACTTATTAAAAAACGCACCAATATATAATTCTCATGTTTTTGTTTGTTTTGTGGTTCGTTGAATTTCACGCGTTTTCCTGGGACTAAATTTACAAAAACAGTTTTTGTTGAAAATCAAATTCTGCATGCGTTTTAAACTAGTCATAGTTTTTAGCTTCAATTTTTTTGTTCACAAATTAATTAAAGTTTTAAAATAACTCTTCATATTAGAAAAAAATTAGAAGTTAAAGCAAAGAGTAATTTCGGATTGGAAAATTTTAGCAAAAACACGGCTTCAAGCCCAGAATTGATGAAAGTCATTACGACGGCACATAGGGTATAAGTTCAGATTCCACAGCTTTAGACTCTCTTTTCCAAAAAATTTGAACCGAACTCCGCAACGGAATTTTTGTTGAATTGGAATCAAAAGACAAATGCTTAAATAAAATGCAATTTGCCTTGGTTGCTTAAACCTTGATCGCTTGATTCCACAAGAACAAAAAAAAATGAAAAAAATTTTGTGTGGGCAGCATTTCTGATAGAATTTCTTACAAAAACTAAAAACGAATGAAAAGGGTCTGTGCAATCCAGAAGCAAGCGGGCACAATTTTGTGCTCTGTTATAACCTAGTTGGGCGACAGTAAGTTCAAAATTTATTTCTTTAATTCTAATACCAATTTCAGGTTTTTATGATCCTTGATTTGATAATGAGTTGTTTTAATCTCAAGCCAAACTACAACCTACTGAAAAAAAAACAAACAAGGCATTCACATATTTCAAATTTTGTAACTAGACAAGGCGTTCTAGCTTGTAGTTATTTGCCTGACAGATATAGATAATTTCAATTAGTTGAAGTTTTTAAAAAGTTACGAAGATTGAAAGTTTTGTCATTTATAAGACCAGCTAAATCAGTGTGTATTTAAACTTTTTTTAAAAAATTTTTTGACCTTTGTTTTTTCTGTTAAACTTTTCTAAGCGATCTAAAAAATTGTCAGTTTGAATCCTTCTAAAATCGAATAGTTAAGAAATTCTTTTACTCTTGACATTATCTTATCGCTAAAACAAATTTTCCCAGGTAAAAAAGTTTCAGAGCCTAACTGTGATACAACTATCAATCAGGTTTCCCGCAATGAAGCTCGATGGATGATAATCGCTTATAAAATACTTTCGAGATCTATCTACAAAAAATTATAAAACAATCAATTATAACAATTGATTATAAATCAAGCAAAGGGGATGGGGAGGCCAGTTTGGTGTTTAAAGGAGTGGGGCATATCAAGGCTGGTGAGGGAATGCAATAAACGTTGCGATACTTGGCACGGAAGGGTGTTCAAAACGTGCTAAATATCGTGTTGCAGAAATTTAGTAGATTTGTGTAGGTTTAAAAGTCCAGTAGACTGTAAGGAATGTAGAAAAAGCTGCAAATTTCAGTATTTTTGGAATATTTTAAACAGATTGTAACCCATTATAATCGTTTATACTAGTTTGAAAATGAATTAGAAACGATTTAATTTCTTTAAAAATAAAAGATTATAAAAGATTGTGCGGTACCAAAGTGTAAGTATGATCAATTATAATGACAACCTCATTGCGGGTTAGTTAAATTTTGCAAAGTTTTCCTCATTCATGATTTACCTATTTGCTTTAATTTTTTCTAATGTCTGTAAAAAACATCGAAAATAATCAAATTGATCAAAAAAAAATTAATTGTAGTTTGCTTGAATATTTGCTTAGTTTTTAAAAAAGACACTTTGTTACTAAAAGTAAACTGTCGTTTTCTTGTAAGAGGTTCACTTCTTCCCCTTTTTTCCCTTTTTTCCTTTTTTAGTCTTGCCCCCACCTCCTTCTTTGGGCGCGTCTTCTAATCTCATATTGCGAAAATCTCGCAGATCGTGACACATGTTGAAGTAAAATTATGATGACCAGTCGGAAAAAACTGAAATTTAACGTGATCAAAGTTTGAAATTCAGCGTGATCAAATTAATGACGCAAGCTTTCAATTTTGAGTCAGACCTTTAAAAAAGGGTTTTTTTCGAAAGAAATTTCAAAAAAAAAGTTTAGTCAACCAGACGGATATTTTTTGATCTTTCTTATTTATGTTGATTATTGATGATTGTATATTTACTTGGTTTTCAGAACATTTGATTGGTTCTCAAAAAAATGCTATCATTCGTCAACATAATTTATGATTTCTATTATAATATAACGCATCGGGGTAATGATTGGCTAAATGCTTCATTAAAGTTTTCATTTCATAGCTATGGCAATAAACCCATAAAAAAAAACGAAAAAAAAATCGATTTTTCTTTCACTTTTGTTCAAATGCTCATCATTACTCGTAATATGCATGTTCGAAAGCAGCAAAAGAGAATGAGTCTTTTAACTTGTCGCCTTGGGGCGCAACTTTCAACGAACTTCTTCTCCGCTGCACAGGTGGGTTTATAAATTTTTCGGGCTTTGAGGGTCCGGCTTGAGAATCTGGCTTGTGGTCGTGGTCTTGCTCTTCGTTTTTCTGGGGAACTACAGGAGTTTCGTCTTCTTTTGGCTCTAAATTTTGTTCTGGGTTTTCTGATGTTGTCATTTTTTCCTCAGTTTAAATGACTCTTGATGTAAGTCATCAAAATTATATTAGTGCCCGAATTGTATACATTCATATCCATTCACAAAAAATCATTTTCAAATTAAATGTTGCACTAGTGTTTTTCAATTTTAGTTTTTTAAATCTAAAATTGAAACACTAGTGCAATATCTTTCCCAGAATAATCAACCAAAAACAAATTTAAAAAAAACATCACGTGTTTATGTTAAAACTTTTCAAATGTGTGTGTTTTGTTCAATTTTTCTTACCTGTGTTTTACACCAAATAGGCAACAGCTTACATTGCATCTCGAATTTTGTTCTCATGTCGACACTGCGTGTCTCTTGATGCAACATTTAGTTTTTGCTTATCTACAAAATATTTCTTTAGAAGACACAAAACAGGGTAATAAAAACAGCACTCGGTTTTGGTATATGGACTGAAAAAACTGAATGAAATTAGCACTAAAATTACTTTTTTGTATTCAATGAAACTTTATAATAAGCTTTTTTGACACTGTGGAACTAAGCAAAATGGTTTTTGCCATAATGTCTATTTAAAAAATTTTATGAACTCATTACGAGGCCAAACTGTGCGTTTTGTACTTTGTAAGCGGAATCCGCAACAAGGACGCTACCTTTGTTCTTCTTTTGTTCTTTACTTTCCTTTGATCGTTCCGACAAAATTTTAACATAGTTAAAGACTTGTCTCTGGAATCCAGGAATATACAGACACAAAATTGTGCGCCTATCCAGTGCACAGTTTGGACTGGTAAGGCTTTTTATACTAAAAAACTGAATGATTAGCAGCTTTTCCATTAAAAAAATATATGAAAATGTATGGCAAGCATGTTTTACATGAAAGCAATTACCAAAACAATTTTTAAGCTTCTTTTTTAAGTTTTGTGTTCTTCTTTCGTAATAATTTGTCGGGCTGTTTAAGAATCTTCTTTTGATATAAATTTCTCGTCAGTTAACTTGGTAGTTTCATCGTAATTCTTGATTACCTAAAAAAGCCAAAACTACCCATTTTCTGGGGAAAATTTTGGCTGTGATTTTAGAGAAAAAAAACTGCACCATAATAATTTGGCAGATCTCTAAGCAACTTTTGTTTTCTTCACTTTTTGTATAAGTGACCCAATTTGAGAAAAAAAATTTCAAAATTGTGTTTTTGTGTCCGGTTATCTTAAAACCAAACTTGTATGATAATTGATTGGCAATTTTTTTTCATAGTCCCAACATAATGAAT